AAGACTATAACATCTACTATTGTATTTTTTATTTATATCTTTACCCGCTTATTATTATTTTTATTTTTACTTAGTTTGGCTGATTCTAATGAGTTCATCAAAGATAAAAGTTCACCTTAAAAAGAGAAAGAGATTTTAAAATATTGACTTCATCGTCTGCTTTAAGAAGCTTTTTTGGGTATTTTTCTGTTCCAAGTACTCACTCGTGGGTGCTGGTGAAAGCAGCTGTTTTCAGAAGAAGGTAAAGCGAATATTAGCAGAAGAAGGTAAAGCGAATTTCCTTTTTTTAAAAAAAAGCGTTAAGGGAGTCGTTGATTACTATGTGAAACTTCGGTAATGCACCCATTTTCTATAATGCACACTCGTCCAGAAGTTTAGTCTTTTGAAACAAGATCGTTTGTCTTATTTAAAATTTGAATTTTCGCACTCGTTAGAAAAATCCTTTTAAAAATTTGCAAATCAGGGCAAGAGAAATATTTTTACTTTAAGATAGCAGAAATATTTGTCTTCTGGTTTGGTTTCAAAATTACAAGGATACGGAGTTGAACATTAGTAGTCGTAAACCCAAAAAATTGGGTCGGCAGTTCAACGGCGGAAGTAAAATTTTTAAAAAAAATCAAGGGCACCCAAGCGAAAAATAATAAAGAAAATTGATTATATTTGATAAAGCCTAAATATTACTGAACCTAAATATTATTTTTAAAATCCTTGAAACCTTAATATTACCTTAATGTTACCTTAAAACCTAAATATTACCTTTATTAAACAAATTTTTTTATAATTTTTTACTTCTCTAGTAATGCTTATTATTATTTAAAAAAAGTTTATAGTTACATAACTTAAACGCACACATTTAGTGTCTTTGTTTAAGAATTTGGGATATTTTTGAATAATTTGACTCTTATGCGCATGCCAGTGGCATAGTTATTTTGTGTTGCACAGTAACGTTTTCGCAATAAAAGCTTTAAATGTAACTCTCCTAGATTACTTTGAAGCTAACCCTCGACACTACCCGTCCGCAACACATATATAAAAAATAGTATTTTACCATGTAAAATTACATACCTTAAAATGATGCAAAAAAATTTTATGCCTTACAATTCAAAGTTTTTTCGACTATTAAATAAAATAATGAAAAATATTTATTAAAATTTATTTTTTGCCCGGAATTTGGATAAATATTTTATCCAAGAATTTTTATAATTGTGTGCAAAATTTTTCAATTTGTTTCATAAGTTCTCGAGATATGGAGAAATACGCAAAAAGTAAAATTAACGTTAAGGAGTCCAAACTTCGGATAACTCTCCTGAACAAACTGTGGAACTCCATCCGAATCCGTGGTAGAAAATGTAGACAATTCAAAACCAAAGCTTTCAGAATTTTTGCTAATTTTGCCAACATTTTAAAGCCTTATTGATTACCTCAGTAAGGATATATTAGATCATACAAAGTATTAGATACTTCGCTAGATAAAAATATATTTGATAAAAATATATGACATAGAACAGAGAACTTTCGATGCTTTTCGGGTAAATTTTTCTAATTGTAGTTAAATTAATGTATTATTCTTGAATTAGAAAATTTGATTCAAAGTTATTTTCCACACATCTATATGCAAATTATTGTTAAATTCATATAAAACGCCACTTTAATCCAGCTCACTCTCGGTCAGGCTTTCAAAATATTGCCCAAATAGCCAAAGATACTAAAAACTCTAGGTTTTAATTATCAACTGTTCTTTAACATATTTTGTAAGAAACATAGTATCTGGCACCACTGTATGTATGAAGAAAAAGTAAAATAATATTAATCATAAATAAATAAATATTTGCCGGTACATAACGTAATAAATTTTTTTTTAATTTGAAGCTACTGACAATCAGAGATTTCCGGATCTTCTTACTTAATTAAGAATTTTATGGTTTGTGACCAATAAGTTGCACTAAAACAATGAGAAAAGGTTTAAGATCTTTATGTTTTTATGTAATATAAAGGAATAGAATCTTGAACTCCATGATTTTATTAATTAAATTAAAGTAAATACGCATAAAGCATCTAAGTAAATACTTTAGAATAATATTTGATTAATAAAATTGCGAAATCTATATCGGAGCAAAAACAGAGTTAACAAAAACAGAGCTTTAAAGATATTTTGATATAATAGTTAAGGTTCTACCTGGAAATGTATTGGCCAACACATAACCAAAATAATAAATAAATAATAAACACTGTCAGTTTTAATATCTCAAAGTTGAAACCTAAGAAACCTATGAATTCATTTTCGAAACTATTTATTGTCGGTTTGCTTTTTACGTCTGAGGCCATAACGGATGGAAGTTAAAATAGACATTTTATAGATTTACTTTATTTCAGTTATTTATAACTATGCTATGAAAGAAAACCTAAATTTTAAATTAGCATACAGCTTAGATTAATTTTAAAATCTCATTCGACAAAGTTAAAAATTTTAGCAAAACTAAAATTCGCCACATTACATGCGTTGCAAGTTATTATTTGAACAAAATTCTATAACTATTCAGACTTGCATTTATTAAATTTAAGCTAACTTAGTTTTTTATGTAATTTTTACACGTAGTTCTTATGGAATTAGCATTTTTACAAAAATTTTTAAAACTTCGTTATTTGCAGTATTATAAAAGCAAAACAGTTAGCTCTAATTAAACTGTATAAACTAAATATACCTGTTTTTAACGTTGACGAAGTAAACATTCTTTTTATCTTCAATTCTTTTTCATAAGATAATGAGAACATTTACACATCATTCTTATCGAATTAACTATTTTACAAAATTTATAATAATATCTTTATTCGCAGTTTTATAGAAATTAAGTTCGCAGCACTAATTAAACCGAATCAGAGATAAATATCTGTTTCTAAAGATGAAGAAGTAAACACTCTTTTTATCTTCAATTCTTTTTCATAAAATAATGAGAACATTTACACATCATTCTTATCGAATTAACTATTTTACAAAATTTATAATAATATCTTTATTCGCAGTTTTATAGAAATTAAGTTCGCAGCACTAATTAAACCGAATCAGAGATAAATATCTGTTTCTAAAGATGAAGAAGTAAACACACTCTTTTTTTTCTCAATTCTATCTCATGAAAATAATTAGAATATTTACACATCATTTTTATCGAGTTAACTGTTTAACAAAATTTATAATAATATCTTTATTCGCAGTTTTATAGAAATTAAGTTCGTCGCACTAATTAAACCGAATCAGCGATAAATATCTGTTTTTAAAGTTGAAGAAGTAAACACACACTTTTTTTTCTCAATTCTATCTCATGAAAATAATTAGAATATTTACACATTATTTTTATCGAGTTAACTGTTTAACAAAATTTATAATGATATCTTCATTTTCAAAATTATAGAAACCAAATAGTTAGAACTAATTAAACTGAATAAACAATATATATTTGTTTTTAAAATTGAAAAAATAAACACTCTTTTCCCTCAATTCTTTTCCCTGAAAATAATCAAAACATTTACTCATAATACTTATCAAATTAACTATTTTAAAAAATTTAAAATGATATTTTTATTCGCAGTGTTATAGAAACCAAATAATTAGCACTCACTAAACAGAATAAATAATATATATATCTGTTTTTAAAGTAAAATAAACCCCTTTTCAATTATTTTTCATAAAAATAATCAGAATATTTACACATCATTCACATCGAATCAACTATTTTTCAAAATTTATAACGATATCTGCATTTTCAACATTACAGAAACTAAATAATTAGCACTAAAACGGTATAAACGATATATGCATGTTCTTAAATTTGGAAAAGTAAACTCTCTTTTTTCCTCAATTCTTTTCCATAAAAATAATCCGGACATTTACACATATTATTCATCAAATTAACTATTTTACAAAATTTATAATGATATCCTTATTCGCAGTATTGTAGAGACTAAGTAATTAGCACTTAGCAATATATACCTGTTTTTAATTTTAAAGATGTAAACACTCTTTTTTTCTCAATATTTTTCATAAAAATATTCAGAATACTTAGACATTCTTATAAAATTAACTATTTTACAAAATTTATAATGACATCTTTATTTGCAATATTATAGAAACCAAATAATTGGAACTAATTAAACTGAATAAACAAAATAAACAAAATCGTTTATTCAATTTAATTAGTTCGAACTATTTGGTACCTGTTTTTAAAGTAAATAAAATAAACACTCTTTTTTCCTCAATTCTTTTCCATGAAAATAATCAGAACATTTGCACATAATTCTTATCGAATTAGCTATTTTACGAAAGTTAAAATATCTGTATTTGCAGCATTATAGAAACCAAATAATTAACCCTCATTAAACTGAATAAACAATATATACCTGTTTCTAAAGAAAAATAAACACTTTTTATCTCTCAATTCTTTTTCATGAAAATAATTAAAACATTTACACATCATTCTTATCGAATTGAATATTTGACAAAATTTATAATAATATTTGTATTTTCAGTCTTACAGGAACTAAATAATTAGCACTAACTTAACTACATAAGCAATATATACCTGTTTATAAAGTTGAAGTAAACACTGTTTTTTCCTCAATTCTTTTTCATAAAATTAATCAGAACATTTGCACATAATTCATGGATCATCAAATATTTTACGAAATTTATATTGACATCCTGTTTTGCTGTATTATGGAAACAAAATAATAAGTACTCATTAAACTGAATAAACAAAATGTACCTGTTTTTTAAAGTTGAAGTAAACACTCTTTTTTCCATAAAAATAATCCGACTTAAAGAACCTGCTTTAAAAACTTTTAAGAAACCTGTGGATGTGGGATGAGTAAGAAGAAGAAATTCATAAGAAATGACCAAGATGTGTTTGGATTTTCTTTCGAAAGCCATATTTGGCTTCAGAATCATATGCAGACGAATGTTTTCCTTTGCTATTTATTTTTGTATTTTACAGAAGTGGGGTGTTAGGAAAAATATGGGATTAGGAAATGAACACAAACGTGTGCGACTCAGCTTGACTCTTTTACTTCTTCTGACTGAAAATTCATTTCGAGGTCTAGAAAGGTTCTTTTGGACTCTGTGCCTTCTTCAACATAGAGACTCCAAGTTTAACAACTTCAATTCAGAAACTGTAACATCATGGTAAGTTGAAATTTCCTATTGGAATTTTAATCGAATATTATAATTGCAATATTTTTCATAATTGAATTCTATGTTCAACAACATCAATTCAGACACTTTAAAATTATGGTAAAATGAAAATTTCGTTTCGGATTATATTCACTGGAATTTGATTTTTAAAAAAACTTTTCATGAGTTTAAAGATTCAGATTTTAAAAAATTTCGTATGCGTATTTTAATGAAACTTTTGTTATTTAAAATTTTATTTTACTTTTAAGTTAGTGTTTTGTCTCTGGTTTACTTAGTTGTTAATAACAAGGGGTAGGAAATTTTTTTGTTTTCTATTGCATAAGATTTTTGAACGTATTTTTATTTCCGCGTCACTAATTTCAAATCTTCTTTCTGTTTCAACCGACAAACACAGTCTTTATAATATTCAATTATATATTCCCAACCAGGATATTTTTAAAACGTGTCCACTTCTCTGCTACATAGGAAGTGGTAGGAAAACGGCGATAATACATTTTAGTTTATGATGCGATAAGTAAAGGCCATATGTTATTAGTCATAATTTTTTGTTCGAGGAGACAATTGTATATGTCTGCATATAAAGATATACGTTTTTTTTTTTACAAACTTGTTCAAACAAAAAAATAAACTAAGCTAAAGATATCATTTTGAAAAAGGCCTGTAGCTTTCTGAAAAAACTATTTTTAGATTAAAAGTTCTCACGCCTGAATTAGGTAAGATCAAGTATATATAAAAATGCAACAAAAAATGTCCCAGGAAAGTTGTTTTTCAATAAAAAAAAATATAAATTACACTATTTACTATTTAAATTATTTTAATCTGCATAAACTAGTTGGTTTAATAATTATTCTTTATTCAAATTCTTACAATTATGCATTTATTTAATTATAAGTTTTTTATTAACATGTGTCGTGATTAAATGAAATAAAAAAAGTAAATAGTTTAAAAATTATTATTTTTTATCTTCACTCTCCAAAAAAATAAACTTTTATTGAAAATGCCTAACGCATCATTACATAAAATTATTATAAATAAAATTGCGAGGTACTCAGTATCATCCATAGACTTAGGTGAGCCTCTGCAAGATTAATTAGCACGCCCTATCTTAGACATTCCATAAAAAATGTAAAATTATAATATGAAAACAAAACACTGTGGTGAAGAGATATTCGGATATTAATAATCAGTAATTTTATTTTAATTTTAAAAAAAATGAAAATAGTATTGGTGATGAAAAGGTAGAATTAAGTTACTAAATGAAAATACTGAATATACTTACCATATTGAATGATCTTTTTTTTTTAGTAATCGGAAAACAATATCTTATAATCGTAATATTCATAGCTTAGTTAAAGGTTATTATTACTCACCAAGTGAGCTAAAAATATTTATAAACAAAAATTACTGTTTTAAGTGTTATTTTTCTGGCGAGTGCGCCCTTAAACCTCGTGCCTCCCCCGAACGCACCACATGGTTTGAGAGGGTGTCATTTACACAATTGAAAGAACAATTTTTTTGGATATGCAAATGTATAGCCGTCTATGTTTTCAATTTCCTGGGAATTGTTGCCATCTTAGAAGTTAGATATCACAACTACGTTGATCACAGCATTTTTTTCCTTCGAATTCATCAGTTCCTTAAACCCGTCGCCAAATGATTATTATTATACATATGGATGCTTTATGAAGTCAGTTGAAGTTATTAAAATATTATCAACAAATGACGAAATAATATCAACGAAAGAAATTTTCTATCCTGTTAAATTTAAAAATAATCAGAAGATTTTTCAGTGTATGCAGTAGCTGCGACTATCTCGTGTTTTTCCCCAAAGATTTTATTCTTATATTTAAAGTGGTAGCGAAACTCGTGTTTTTTCATTAAATGTGATTTAATTCACATTAGACGTGTTTTTGAATTATAATAATAATTATAAATGACTTTGTACACCACTACTTATAAATAATTACAACAAATATATATAAAAGCATAATAATCTTTACGATAGCGAAAATCAACCTCGTCAAAATATCATTATATATTTTTGAGTAAGCTACCGCTTGGAAGATCCATTATCGGAAAGAATGAAATTTGTCTTATTAAGACTCGCAGTGTTCGAAAAAATTAAAAAGTGGTATCCAATTTATCTTCAAAGCTGACTGTGTATTTTAAATGCAGCTTCTGCATTATTTTAAAATTAACGAACAGTCCAATTTTAAAATTAAGTATAATATTTTAAATAGTTGAGATATGCCGTTAGTTGAGATATCACTTTCCATGTAAAAAATTAACGAAACATTGCCTAGTTCTCCATAACCACTTTTTTATTTTTGATGAACCGAAGCGACCACTATATTAAGAAGCACCAATCATAGGAATTTTTTTCAAAACGATTAAGACTGAATTAATTTTTTATTCTTGTAATTTAAATTATTCGTTAAAAATTCATGTTCATATTATGATCTAAATTTTGTTATCAGGCCCTATAGGTCATGTAACATCTGTCAATTTATATTACGGAATATACTGTGTACCATTGGATTATGTACCATTGAATCTTCATAATTATTTCAATATTTAAATTTTTGAGGTATTGCATTTTCGCATTTAGTTTTTCCATTATGGGGCCTCGGTTCACAGTCAGTTTTTGGTTTAACCACTGACAACAGAAATCCAACAGTGTGTTAGTAGACAGTGTGTCCCCTGATGAAGTGCTGTTTTTGCTAGTATACATATTTTTAAAATTTCGTTTTGCTTATTTTTGGTTACTAACTTTTTATTTAAATTGTTTACATAAGACAAATATGTTTTCAGCTGCTCATAGCACTTTTCCATTCTGACTTATTATTTATATTAAAATTTTTATATTAAAAGTATATAAAAATTTGTTTTTATATTAAATTTTTTTTAATCAATTTCATACTTTAATGACAACACACTTCAGTTATATCATCTGTAAACAGCACATCTTTACATGTGTACATTTACATCCATGCGTGCAACCCAGGGTCACTCTCGGGGTTGCTTCATCATTTTCAGGCCTCTTTTGTTCATCACAATCTATTTGTTTTCTTGTACTGATGGGATATGTACACATTTTTCGTGACCTGAGACCCGGATGCCCCTCTGGGGGTGGGTAATATGTGTGCTCTTAAAATCTGTGAAATGGAATGTCCTGTGGTCAGTCGCTGAGCAGTGCCGCGTGTGCAGGGACTTGGAGAAAATTTCTTTTCCCTTAAGATCTACGTCTAAATTTATCTTAATTGAGGAAGTGGCCTCACGAATGAGTGGTGCTGTCATTTCTTCTTGAGTTTCTGAGCCAAGACGTACTCTTGCAATGCTCTCTTGTCAAACGAAAGACGCACTTCCTGAATTAATTCATAAAAAACCAATAGTTGGTGAACTTGTCTTGATCAAGTTTCATTAGAAACAACACTTTTAGTGATATAAAGTGTTGGGAAGCAAGACTATGGCTAATGGTTCCGTGGCCAAATCCCTGGCGTTTCTAAAAATAAATAAATAAAAGAGTCTTTTGAAGGTTGGTCAGGGACATAAAAAAGATGTTAAGTATTTTTTTTTTGTAACATTTTAATTTGTTGACCCGGAAACCGTTAGTCATTTTACTTGTCAAAAGAAAAAAGGAATCCAAAGTAAGACTTGAAGCTTGCTCTAAAAATAGTGTAATGTAATATTCTGTAGTTAATTCTGTAGTAATTTATTCTGCAGAAATTTATGAAAAAAATTTAATGGAACGAAAGAGAAATTATGAGAGGGTAATTTCAAGTTTAATTTTTGTAGCAATTTTCATAATATTTTGACCCTTCAAAAAAAAGTGTGACCAAAATTGTAAACAAGTCAACTTTAATAAGTTAAAAATTTTCTACTGTCATTCGAGTAAGACACAAATAGTTATATCTGAAAAAAATGGAACGTTTAAACAAATTGAAAGCATTTTATAACTCTAGTATTAGTAAAAAATTTCTATCCTTCTGTCCATTTGCTCCAAAGATTCTATTGGAAGTTTCAACTAAATTACTACATATCTAAAATCTATAATTTATTTAAAAATATTCGATAATTTAAAAAATACTGATAAAGATCTATAGTTAATTCAAAAAACATTTTATTGTTTATCGATATTTTTTTGCATAAATCGACCTTGAATAATCCAAATAAAAATTTTTACTGTAAAAACATAATGTCATTATCAATCTGCTCACAATATTATTTTTTTATTATCTAGTATTCGAGAGATACAAAACCTTTGCATAAAAAATAAACACTCGGAAAAGATACACAAACACGACAAAGATAAAGTTTTAAGTTCAGTCGATTGTTTGAGTTTTTACTTGTTATAAATATTTGCACCTGATGGCATTCAATTTTTTTATCGTAAATAGAGATGTTAAGGAAAAAAGAATCATTGAAGTTCTTTTTTTGTGTATTTAAACAATGAGAAACGTAAGATTAAACGCAGATTATTATTAGTTCTTCTCTGATTGTTTGCAGAGATAATCGAATATACATATACAAGTGGTTCATCCAGAAAAAAAATGAAAGAAAGAAGAATTAATAAATACTACAACTTTCCCCGCTTTGTAATAAAATATTTCCTAGTGGTAAAGAAATTTAAGTAAATTTTCAGTTTAGTATTTTAGATTTTAAGTCGCTTCTGCACTACTGTACATATTAAAATTTTAAAAATATCAAATTAAATACAACTTTATAGCAGTTATCATGTAGTGACACTTTTAAAGTGTTAGCATGATTACCCTTATTCTACAAGTTTTACTATTCAATTTGCTACCAATTTATTAAAATGTTTGCAGAAAGCATGGAAGTTGACAGCTTTGCATGCATTTGAAAACATTTTATTTTAACATAACTATATTATTACAGTTAATATCATTTTATTTATTTCTATTCTTCCATTACAAATATTTACTATTATATTTAGAAGAAAGTTTTACTCTTAACCCCTTGGGGACGGGTGA